TAAAGAAATAATGTTATTTAAAAATTTCTGTAGAGCATTTTGTATTTTATATTTAATATTTAATATTTACATTTTAAATCTAAAATCTAATTATAGGAATGTTAAATCTTTGTTGCAATATAAGTCTACCAGACTGTAAAAAATAAATAAATAAATAAATGTATTTATAAGGCGAAGATGTTTAAATTTCACTATAAATTTATTTTACACATGATTCATGATTTCATGATCTTACATACATATATAAGAAATGTAATTTATATCTTGTTTAATACACCAAAATTGTTTTTTACATTCAATCGTTTGCAGTGGCTCTTGGTGAAGGCGCCAACTTCGCAGCATACGCTTTTGCTCCAGCATCTCTTGTTACTCCACTCGGTGCCCTGAGCGTAATCATATCCGCGGTGATGGCATCAAATTATTTAAATGAAAAACTCAATCTTCTGGGAAAAATCGGTTGCGTACTTTGCATTCTAGGCTCAACTATCATCGTTATACATTCACCAAAAGAGAAAGAGGTTGAAAATTTAGAGATTTTATTTGAAAAATTGCAAGATCCAGGATTCATTTTCTATGTGCTTTGCATACTTGGCTCAACAGTGTACGTAGCACTATTTATTGCAGCGAGATATGGTCATTCTAATGTTGCGGTATATATTTACTTGTGCTCCGGCATTGGCTCACTGACTATGATGTCATGCAAAGCGCTGGGATTGGCCATACGCGATACCATAAATGGTACTGGAAACGATTTTGCCATTTGGATGCCATGGTTTCTGATTTGCGTTACTGTTACTTTCATTGCTATACAAATGAATTATTTAAACAAAGCGCTGGATGTATTCAATACAGGAATTGTAACGCCCGTATATTATGTAATGTTTACATCTCTTGTCATAACAGCCTCTGCAATACTTTTCAAGGAATTTACACACATGCGTTTCGAAGATATCTTGGGAGATATTTGTGGATTCTTTGTGGTAATCTTAGCTGTATTCATGTTGAATGCTTTCAAAGATTTGGACATCACATTGAATGATGTACGTAGCATTGTGGAAGAATACAAGTGAGATATCTTAGGGTTGACAGATAGTTGACAGGGTGTTCAATATGGCGATGACAGTGTGAACAATATGGCAGCCAATATGGCATACAACACCGAATGGCCCGAAGTAGCCAAACTACGACCCGAATGAAACGCTTCGTGAAAATCCAGGGTTGCGAA